AGCCTGCCATCCTGACTGAATGCAATGGTTGAATAAATCAGTTGTGTTCATATTTATTCAGTTACTACACATGACGAGCTCTGTTCAGCAAATCAAACCTCTGTGGTGTTTGTTCTGCAGCTCGCAGGTCAGCTGCTTCCTGGTCCCGTTAGCCTGCTTGTATCAGGGAGTCTGACTCTACATGAGCTTTATGCTTTTAATGTTCACTTTCAGTTGTTCTTCGTCTTACAGTCATATTTCAGCACTGAAAAGCACAATAGTTGGAACCCCCTCTCTCCAGTCTGAAATGGACGTCGTTCCTCTGAGCATTGCAGAGTCTGACCTTTGGGTGAATTTGCTGGGCCGTCCACTCCTGAGAAGATTGGCAGCGGTCTTTGGTGCAGAGCAGCGTGTTTAATAAGTTGCCACAACCTGGTTCTTAAAATGATGACAACCTAAACTCCATTTTCAGAAACCAAGAAGATTGTTTTAATAAAAAAATTCTATAGAGACGTCCACCAGGACCAGGTGTCCTCAACCAGCACCAGAGACATGTAGTAAAGATCTAAACTCCAAAAGGGAGACCAGGAGATGAAGCTGGAGTAACGATCCGGTGGACTCTAGTCTTTTTATTCGCTGGACGTCAGATTTGAATAATTTAGAACTTGGTAATTCTTGCATCTTAGAAGCGTCTTGTTACGTCAACTTAAAGGAAGTTGAAGCTGCTGTGTTAGCTGAAAGACAGCAGTGTGTCTGTTTTCTGTGTAATTTGACCTTGACTTTGACCTCCATGCTGAAACCCAGAACAGCATCCAGCCTCAGATTGTAGGGAGCAGACAGAGCAGCCTGTCTGGTTCTGTTCTGGACCAGCGAAGTCCGTTTCTGCTGCAGGCGAAGGTTCAGGGTGTTGCGTGGTGTGTGCAACGAGCAGCTCCTCAGATTTGGAGCATCATCTTGGAGCTACAGTCTCCATCTCCTGTGGGAGCGGGCCGCCGCCAGGCGCTGGATGCAACGTGCCAGCAGAACATAAGAGCAGAACAGGTTCTCTGTGATTCTCCTGTTCTTTATTTTAGCGTGACGGCAGCTTTCAGTTCGGTCTCTGGGATTGAAGTGATAAACCCGTCTGGACCGAACATGAACGATGACGGTTCTGATTTAAAACCTCGTTTTCTGTTTCCTCTGCAGTTCTGGGATGTTGGACCGATGGTCCTGCTGCTCTCACACAGGTGGAGCAACATGCGCTGCTGCACGGGGGGAGGCTTTAGTTAAATTTTCTGATCATTGATCACGTTTCTCATCAGCTCAGCTCACCTGTCTCACCTGGACTGATCAGATGTCGGCCATCTCACATCTCCTCCTCCAAACTTCTCACATCATCTCATCTGATGTTTTTCTTGTCCTTTGAAATGTTCGTACTTTTGTTATTGTTGATGTATTTAATCAAACTAAAAAGAAGTTGCTGTACTTTTGAAGTAAAGGCCTTTTTTTGTTTTGTTTGTTAGAAAACCCAGAACCGTGTTGGGTCTGCCGAACCAGAGCAGTGACCCAGCACCTTCTGAGCTCTCAATCTGGACCTGGATCAGTTTTAATCTTCCTCCCCTGAGCTGCACACAGTGAAGTTGTTTTACATCCTGCAGTTTTTATCGTTTCATCACGTCTGATTATTGATCTGAGAAGTTCAGGTCAATCAGCAACTCATCTCACTAAATTAAGTTGACCAAGTTTGATCTCATTTTATTGTTTTTCTCTCGGTCCAACAATGTTCAGTCAGGTCATCTGGATGTTTTTTTCGTTGAGACGTTTCGCCCTTCATCCAAAGGGCTTCATCAGTCTGAGGAGTCACAAGCTGTTTCCCCACTAAGCAGTACACTCCTATAGTGGACCAACCAGTTTGCTGGTGATAAGATGGTTTCTGGGGGCCGTCGACTCCTCCCAGGCAGCCACAGCCCAAGTGGTTCAAGACATCAAGGTTCTGTCGGTCTTTGATCGGTCTGTTCTCTGTAGGTTTGCTGCTCACAGCCTGAACATGCGTGTTCCACAGCACATGAAAGTGATAAAGTAACACGATTATTTTGTTGTAGTGACTGTGGTTTTGTAAAACGAGATCTGCGATGTTCTTCAGACCCTTCAAGTGTGATTCTGTTGTTGTTTGTTTAACTTCCTGGTATTTAAATGACTGACTCTCGTCCAGACGTCACGCCTGCTTCTTATTCCTCTTCCTTTGATTTCATCTCTCCTTCTGTCACATAATCTGAGCTGAACCTGCCACAGTCTCACTTCGCCTCATGCTTCCTCACCTCTCATTAATCTCCCTTGACCTACTTTTATAACATCTCACCTTTTTAAATTATAATTAGATTTTATATTTGATTGGGCTTCTCAAATCACTCTAATAATGTTCATGTTTCTCACTTTAGGATCCAGCTGTTGGCTTTGGTTTCTGAATTGTTTTCCGTGTTATCAGAAAAGAGATGGAAGCATTTCTCTGGAGCCCGTCTGAGCTGATGTTTCTGCAGACGAGCAGAAACATCAGCTCCAGTCGAACATTCGCATCACGTTCCACTGCACATGTCCCGCTTTCACCGGGAGTCTGACGTTCACACCAGACCGCTCAGAAATTCAGCTCGTTTTAACACACGGTTCATTCAGAAACATCAGCTGTCAGACTTTAAAATCTTTAAACACAAAGCAGGTTTTGTTGTTAACAGAATGAGGAGGTAAAGATGAGCTGCTGGTTAACTGAGGTTAGTAAATGAAGTCTAACAAGCTGCAGCTGGTTGTCCTGTTTTGAGAGTTTAATTAGCTCCTTTTTTAATAAAAACCTACAAGTAAAGAGCTCAAACTGGATGCAGCCTTCCAGAATCAAATGTGTTCTTGTTTCTGAACGAGTTCCTGCTGGGAAGCAAAACTCAACAGTTTACAGATATCTGACCCTCAGTCAGCAGAGGAGCAGGTGAAGATGTCTTTAAATGTCACTAAACGTGCGCTGATGTTTGATTCTGTTCGTTTATAAATGAATTGATCTATTTTTCCTGATTTGTAACCAGCTTTGCTAAAGAGTTGATCGGTCTGATGAGTTGGTGCGCTGCTGATTATTGGCTCTGACGGAGCAGCAGATTGTGTTTTCAGCAGGACGGCAGTCAGGTTCAGTTAAAGCTTCAGTGGATTCATCAGTGCTGCAGACAAACACCCACGAGTGGCTGAGAACGAGGGGGTGGAGGTCTGTGCAGAACAGAAACACTAACTTACACTGCTTTACATGGCAGCATGAAGCTAACATTCGTTGAAGGTTGAATTCTTTCAGACTATCTGCAGGAAGTCCTCCTCAGTGCTTATTTTTATATTATTAAAAAACTGACACGGTTGGTCAAAATACTCTGTTAGCATATCAAACTCTCGTGATTTATTAGGTTAGACATCAACTCTGACCTTAAAATGTCTCGTCAGCATGACCTTTAAAAAGTTTCATCATGTTTTAGGGAAAAGCACTCCATTGTATACTAGTAAAATGCAGTACATAATTTATTTTAACATTCCTCGAGGGACTGCGTTTTTTTCTTTCTGATTTTAAATTAAATTTTGAACAAGGATGTCGAGGACCCGAATGAGATGGCCCCAGGGCCTCCTCTGGCCCACGGACCTTATTTTGCTTGCGTGTGAACTGAGCAGGTTTGAGAGTCGGCGTGTTTCTGTGATGGATGTCCACATAATAAGAAGGACATGTAATTAAAAATATTCTTGTTGGTGGTTTACCTAAAAGTACTGGTACACACACAGACACCCCCCCACCCCCACCCCCAGTCATACAGCCGTTAAGTTGTGGTTTTATTTATCGAGTCAGAAAATTACTTTTAACAAGCAACTGTTGGAGAGCGGTGCAGGAATATATATTTATAAAGTTTTGATCTGAATGCCCAGACGCTGAACTCTGCACCGTCACAAATATCTTCTTCTATGCTCCGTTTACTTCACACTTTATTTAAACCTCTGAGTAAAGATACTTTTTAATTTGACAGAAACCTTATAGATTGGCAGATGTTAAATTTGTTGCTCTGCGTACGTGCGTTTTCTTTTAAATTCAGACAAGACTGAGGTTTTAGTTTTTGGACCTGAGCATTTTATGAATGAATGTTTCAGTCTTTCTCCCTCCTTAGATGCATTAATCTGTCCTCCAGCTCTAATGTTAAAAATCTTGGTGTTATTTTTGATCATTTCTTTTATCCCCCACATTAAAAACGTTACTAGAACCTCCTTCTTCCACCTGCGTAATATCACTAACATTAGAAACATCTGATCTAAAGATGATGCAGAAGAACTGGTCCATGCATTTGTCACGTCTAGACTGGACTATTGCAATGGTTTATTATCTGGGTGTCCAAATACTTCTTTAAAACGTCTTCAGTTGATCCAAAATGCTGCTGCCAGAATCTTAACTGGAGTTACTGGGAGAGATCATATCTCTCCAGTTTAGCTTCTCTCCATTGGCTCCCTGTCAAATCCAGAATAGAATTCAAAATCTTACTTCTAACCTACAAAGCTCTCAACAACCTAGCTCCATCTTATATTACAGATCTTATTGTTCCATATTTTCCTAACGGAGCATTTTGCTCTCAGACTGCAGGTTTAAGGCTCCCACATACTCGGGTGTACTGTGTGTACTCCGTGAGCCGCATGGACTCTGCGTGCACTGTCCGTGCACTGTCCGCAGACGGTTGAGATTTCATACTCGAGCGTACACCTCGATGGGCTGCAGCCCAGGGGCGTTTACCTTAGGGAAAAATTGAGGTCACGATTGGTCGTTTGCTGACACGCCTACAGGACTGATTGACAGGTTGCAAAAAAATAAAACAAACGAGAGCTGGGTAGAGGCAGCTGGCAGCCCAGTGCACACGTGCACGTGCAATGTAGCGTGTTTAACGCAGGTCTTATCACATGCGCTCACCCAGGATGAAAATGATAAAAATAAGACTAATCCTTACTACTTGCATGAAACTGATCAATCCTGTTTTGTTTGTCTACAGGTCTGTCTGGAAACCCGGTGGATTTAGAAAAACGTCAGACGGTCTTTGGAAAGAACTTTATTCCTCCAAAGAAGCCCAAAACTTTCCTGCAGCTGGTGTGGGAGGCTCTGCAGGATGTAACACTCATTATCCTGGAAATCGCTGCAATCATTTCATTGGGTCTGTCCTTCTACCACCCACCAGGGGGCGACACTGAAGGTCAGTTCCTTCCATGTTTAGACTCTTCATACAAAACTTCTACACATCAGAAACCTCAGGACACAAAAGTCGTGACTGAAAGTAGAGAGTTTAGAAAGTAGAGGATGAGGAGAAAAGCAGGAGCTTCTTCTGACTTGAACCCATCTTAAAATCTGTTTGTAGATCTTCATCAAACTTCAGTCTGACTGGAAACTCTTCAGTCCAGAGAGGAAGACTGCAGTGTGTGCGCGACTGTTATTTATTCACTGTTTTTAACCTTCAGTTTACCAGGTGAAATGTTTCAGACCCAGCTCTACTACTAAAGGAAACCAGTTGACTAATACTACTGGGAACCAGATAACTAGTTCATTCAACCTTTATGTCTACAGGTTAGTCTCATTGAGTCTCCAGGACTCATTTACTAGAGAGACCTGTTTCAGACAAAGAGTGATGACAACAGTAGTCAATCTTAAATAAAGCATATAAATTGAAAAATAAATGGAAGAAAATTATAATAAAAAAACAAAACAAACAGCTACATTGTAAAGCGATGTAAAAACCTAAAAACAGGAACATGTCTGTGTTGGTTTTTCCCATGAACTTACCAGATGTTTGAAGCCACTTAGAGAGGTCAAGGTTGAGAGCTTCAGATCTTTGTACAAGATATTCCAGGAAACAGGAGCAGAGCAGGAGAAGGTCCTTTTGTCTAGTTCAGTCCTCACTGAGGGAACACTGCAGGTAATGATGTCCTGAGAGCGCACGCTGTAGCTGCACTCACACAGTCTTCATCTGTTCATCATTCTCTGCAGATGAATTCAACAGAGTTGTCAGTCAACTACTAGGTCCACAAACTACACTTTGACAACCAGCTCTTTAAATCACTAAAAGTGAAGAATTTAAATAATAAATAAAAATAATGATCAGATCGTTTCATTCAGAACAATTATGTTCAAGTTTGTGAGAACAGGGAGCCAGATAACTAGTATTACAGCTACCAGATACAAGTACTGCAGGGAATCAGTTAACTAGTACTACTTGGTACAGATAACTAGTACTACAGATAACTAGTACTACAGATAACTAGTACTACAGATAACTAGTAGTAGAGTCCTAAGCCCTCAGGGTTGAGCTGCTTGTGTTTCCCTTGTCGTGTTTGCAGCTCCTCTTTCTAACGTCCTGTCATGTGAAATGATTGTTTGAACCATCGTCCTCCTCTTCTCGTGTCTCGTTTGGTTTGAGAAGAAAAAAGACTAAATGTTTTTTGTAAAACATTTTTTAAACGTGTCTCTCAGCATGTGGCCAAGCTGCAGGCGGTGTCGAGGACGATGGAGAAGCTCAGGCGGGCTGGATCGAGGGAGCGGCCATCCTGTTCTCGGTCATCATTGTGGTTCTGGTAACGGCCTTCAACGACTGGTCCAAGGAGAAACAGTTCCGTGGATTGCAGAACCGCATCGAAAAGGAACAAAAGTTCACGGTGATCCGTAAAGGCCAGGTTATCCAGATCCCTGTGGCTGAGATCGTGGTGGGAGACATCGCTCAGATCAAATACGGTAACAGACATCAAACCTTCACAGGTGGAGTGAAGCCGGCAGAACTCCGGTTCTCTCATGTCCTCAGCTCAGGCTTTAACCAGGTGGCTTTTAGTTTCCACCTGTTGTTAAAGTTCTGGATAGGGTTTAATGGGTCTGACGTTCCAAATATTCAGTATTTCAGTGGTGAGGTGGAGCGAACATTGAATTATTCTGTTGACAGGGTTTATACTGAACTCAATGTCAGCAGCCTGACGTTCAGAAACGGATTCATCAGAACGTTTTGTTCTTATTCCAAACAAAATGTTTGGAAAAGTTTGGTCTGTTCTTTTAGAAACATGGCTGCTCGAACTGGTTCAGGAACAGCGGATTAACTTTTTGATATCGAGCCTCGGATTTTTATGTGAAACCTGTGGACACTGCAGTTTAAACCCCCTGACCTCTGACCTCTGACCCCTGCCTGCAGGAGACCTGCTGCCCGCTGACGGGATCTTGATCCAAGGGAACGACCTGAAGCTCGATGAGAGCACCCTGACCGGGGAGACCGATCAGGTTCGCAAATCACTTGAGAAGGACCCCATGTTGCTGTCTGGTGAGTGCCTGTTCCCAGTCACATGATGCCATCACGCACGCACGCACGCACGCACGCACGCACGAGCGAGCGAGTAATCACAGAATAAATGAAAGGCTGGGTTTGAAACGGGCGGTTACAGAGAAAAGCCAGCTTGTGTTGTGACACGGTGCTTGTGAACTCTCCTCAGGGACTCATGTGATGGAGGGATCTGGCAGGATGGTGGTGTCAGCTGTCGGCCTCAACTCTCAGACCGGCATCATCTTAACCCTCATGGGCAGCAGCGAGCGCGACGAAGAGAAGAAGGTCAAGAAAAGTAAGACGTGAAAACGAAGCCGTCACACATGTCGCACAAACACAACCGAATGTCAGAGTCATACGACGACCGTAAGTCTGAGGTGTTGAGAAGAAAGCAACCAGAGCAACAGTTGTGAAGAACATTTCAACTTGGGTTGAGCTTGTGTTGGTTTTCTGATGTACCATCTGAGTCCTTCAGTTTGGACTGAGCTCAGCAGAACTATCTGAAGGACTGTGTTGAACTCGATTCTGAAACAAAACACCATGACTGAATAAATGAGACCAAAGATGAGTTAGTCTGTGCTACGACACATTTTTACTCACCCAGGATCCATATTTTTATCCTCTCATTGATCAGATTTTTCTAAGACATTACAAGAACAGAAGTTCTCCATAAAATCCAGCTTTAACTCAAACGTTCTGATCTGACCCAACACTTCATGTCTTTTTGCCTTGAACTCCCAGACAGAACACACACGGCTATACTTTTTAACTGGAGAGGTGTGTGCGGCGGCTGTGGCTCATTGGTTAGCGCAGTCGTCCTCTAATGAGCCGGGGGTTTGATTCCACCATGATGCAGTCACATGGCAAGACTCTGAACCCGTCATGTGATCTAAAGCCCTGATTGGTCTCTATGGAGTGATTTGTTCAGAATATCTTTTTAATATTTTGAAGCTGCGTTCTCTCAGAACAGCAGAACGGTTCTGAACAAACGCTCCATCATGGTCTCATTTATTCTGATTGTGTGTTTATGGGAATGAAATCCAGACTCAGATTTTAAGTGTAAATTAGCTTCTTTCTTTGTGTTGGAAACTAGTGATGAGTGTCTCCAGCAGATTGATACAAACCAACAGGCTCCTGCAGTCCGTCTCTACTGCTTCAGATTTGCTTGTGATCATGCTAATACCCTTTACTCGTCTTTTTCTTTACTTTGTTTTTGTCTGACCATTTGTTTTATTGGCTAAAGTTTGAGTTTGTCAGGCATTCATTGTGAACTGGCTGAATGTACCAGCTCAGCAGAGAGAGACACTCAAGTTTATTATCTGCTGACCAAATTCAAACAAACGACCCAAGTGGGACTTCTCCTGAGGAGAACCGCATCCTAAATGTTCTGAAGCTTAAAGCTACAATTATTATGAATTAGTGCTAACAACAATAAAGACACAAAACAAAACTTTACTTTCACATTTACTTAAAATTCATTTATTTATTACCCCAAATAATCCCTGCTTTAAAAAAACAACAACATTCTTCCCAAATTTAATCCCATTTTCTATACAAGAGTTCACGCACTCACATTTACCTTTTTATACAGTTTTGTCCCTCGGATGTGTACAAATACACACAACTGATCATTTCATTTGGAGAATTACACCTAAAGTGCAGTTTGTTTCATTTCTCCAAGACGATCATTAAAAGCTCGGCTCACGTAAACACGGTGCAGAGTTTTAATCTAAAGCACAAAGTGTTGGATGTTGGTGGTTCTCTGCAGAGCGAAGCCTCGTGTCTCTTTCGTCTGATCCGTCCATTCCTGCCCACAGCACACACACGACACACACACCTGTGGGTTTCTATCAGTTTGAATTTTGCTTTCTCCCTCAGTTTGATTCGATCTTTTCCTTTGAGCCATCTTATCAGCATTCCGCCCTCTCTCTCTGTCCGAACAGGTAAAAAACAAGGACCCCCCGAAAATCGCAACAAAGGTAACCCCTCCATTCATCCATCTGTCCTTCGGTCCCTCCATCCTCCCCGTTCCTCACCCCCTCCTCACCCCCAGCCAGCCAGCGGCGGGAGGGGAGGCTGTCCTCCATCTCTCTGTCTCTCTGTCTGCTGAATAAATGGGGGTGGGGGGTGGGGGAGGGGACAGCCTTTCACCTTGCTTTACCTGTTCAAGGATGCAACTCTCACCCCTCAGGTCTTTGACAACTAGTGCCCACTGTTGCCATGGTAACTACCAAACAGTGTCCCAGTCCTCAGGAAAGACAACATTTCCTGTACATGTATTAATATTTAGTTGTTGAAGCTTGATTTGATTTTAGCAGAACAAAAGGCTGTTGATGCTTACAGTAAAGATCTGTGCCCAGATGATGAACAGCTGCACCTCCAGACAAACTAATCTTTAATGCTTTGCAGAAAAATGAGCTGCACTAACAGAACAGGTTCTAACAAACATAAGATGGTAGTTTAATGCTCTTAAAAGCTGTTTATGAACTTCCAATTAATCGGTAACAATCTTCACCTTCATTGTTACATTTGAAACAGTTTTCAAATCATAAACGTGCTTTTTATAGTTTGTGACGGGAAAGATTAGCTCGACCTCTCCGTTTGCAGTTGGATCGAGCGTTCCAGTAGAAAAGTCTCTGCTGATATTTCTGAACCAAAAATACTGATATTATGTTGCTATGGTAACCAATATAACAGAAGACAACCTAGCTGCATTTTGTCCTCGGTTTAAATGAAATGTGGAAAAATAAGCCTAATTGAAATTGTCAGACATGAAAATATTTGTCTGCAGATGCAGCGTGTATACAAACATCATGCAACTGATGTCAACGTGCACATTGTGTGCATGAGAGGAAGGAAAAGACTGCATGAGACAAGACACACACACTGTGGACTACACAACTGGAGAAGTAAATTTATTATATACATGATACATTTAGTACAAAGCTCTGTGTTAATGAGTTGAACTGAAACACATCAAACTGTTGGACTCCATCTAATGGTGGTGATGATGACCAAGAGCACGAAATTACCGTCTAAAATACTGATCAAATTTGTCTGTAATTATTGGACTCTTCTTCAGATAAGCAGCCATTATGTCGTCCCGTCCTCCTCCAGCACCAAGCAGCCACTGGTCCAAACATCAGACCAACTCCTCACAACACAGACTTCTTTGTCCTTAACTCCTGCAGGACTTACTAAAATAGCACAAGTGTCAACAAACCTTCAAAAAGCAGAGTTCATCTTAACAAGCTCTAATCTCAGCTGACACTTCATCGTTTTGGACCTTCTGTCTGTTTTACGACCGTCACCTCACGGTTCACACTTGTAGCAAAGTTTAGTTTCAAACCAAAAAACAATGACAGTGGCATTATTTTTGTAATTTGCTTAGATATTTAAAAAGCATTGCTCATCTCTAATCTGAAGAAAGGCAGTCGATAATGACGAGGTATTAATTGCTAAACCAAAGTTTATAAATCGTTAAGTGTAAAGGGTTACACAAACACTTAGTAAACAAGATAAAATATTTCAGCAAATATACCCATCATTTATCATTACAGTTGTTTTCTGCCAGGTGATGATGGTAATTACTGTTATTATTAATAATAATAATTAAATTGAATAATTACACAAATAAATTAATTTTTACAAAACTTAAAAATGTTCTGTTAAGTGTTCCAGGGGGAACCGGAGACATTCTTATGGCACACGTTTTCTATTGACGTCGTCTGTTTATTGTCCAGTCGTCCAACTGTCTCAGTTTTTATTTGCCGTCCAGCTTCCTGAGAGCTGCCTCTGAACACACACTCGGACCCCCTCCTCCCTGCTCCTGTGGTTAAAGCATCTGCTGCAGATGGACCAGAAAACACACAGATCATCACACAAACACTTTTCAAACGACCTCCAAAAGAAAACCTCCACAAGTTTGGAGGACTTTTCTTTTTTTACCTGATTTACCGAGCAAAAAGAGGAAACTGTCTTAAAACAAACATTTGTTTTCTGAGAGGTTCCTTCTTGAGTCAATTGATTAAAGCCTTGTCTTCAGTAATGAGGGCGTTGCTTCGGTCAGTCGTGATGAAAAAAAGAGTTAAGTCAAAAGACAAAGCTCTGGATTTACTGATCTATTTAGGTTCCAACCCTCACCTATGGTCCTGAGGTTTGGATCAGGACTGAAAGAACCTGATCCTGGATCCAAGCGGCTGAAATGACTTCGTAGGGTGGGGGCTCAGCCTTAGAGATAGGGTGAGGATCTCCGTCATCCAGGGGAGCTGGGAATGGAGCTGCTGCTCCTCTGCATCACATTGACTCAGCTGAGGAGGTTCATCTTGTTGGGATGTTTCATGGTCCTCCCATGGGAGGTCTTCTGCACTCTTACCGTTGGGAAGAGACTCTGGGGCAGACCCGGAACTCTCTGGAGGGATTATATATCTTCTGTGTCCTGGGAACACTTTGTGGTCCCCCAGGAGGAGCTGGAGAGTGTCTGAGGAGAGGGAGGTCTGAGTTTCTGTCCTGGACCTGCTGCCTCCGTTACCAAACTACAGATAAGCGATATACAATACCGTCCACAATGCTCCTGATATTTTATAAACATACATTTTCTTGTACTTATATCTATGTCTATTGTCTTACATCTTTTTAAAAGCAATAAAATCTTCATACCACACCACGAGGTGGTGACTGTGTCCACATTAACAACGTATCATTTTTTTTTATTCAGTTCAGTTTATTTATAAAGCACCAAGTCACAACAGAAGTCATCTCTGGACACTGAACAGAAACATTTATATATTATAAAATAATAATTTAACATTATTTATCTGAGGAGCGGACTGCTGAAAGTTTAAATCACAGAACTCTCATCTTGAGCAAGCATGAAGGCGACAGTGGAAAGAAAACTCACTCATGAGGAAGAAACCTTTAGCAGAACCAGACTCACGACAAGCGGCCATCTGCTTCAACCGGCTGGGTTTGGTAGGGACAGATACACAATGTCAGGTCAAGAATCACATGTTAAGATGGAATCAAATGAAAACTATTCAATTTTAACAATTAATTTAAGGAAATGAGGTCAGTTTGTCCTCTAGTACTCTAAGCCTATAGCAGCATGATAAGCCAACCCTAACTATAGGATTTATCAAAAAGGAAAGTCTTTATCCCAGTCTTAAAACTGGACAATGTGTCAGCCTCACGGACAGAAACTGGACGTTGGTTCCACAAGAGAGGAGCCTGAGAACTGAAAGATCTTCCTCCCATTCTGCTGCTGGAAACTGTAGAAACCACAAGTAAACCTGCAGTCTGAGAGTGAAGTGCTCTGTTAAGAAAATATGGAGCAATAAGACCTCAAATATAAGATGGAGCTAGGTTGTTGAGGGTTTGTAGTTTAGATTTAAGATTTTGAATTCTATTCTGGATTTGACAGGGAGCCAATGGAGAGAAGCTAAAACTGGAGAGATATGATCTCTCCCAGTAACTCCAGTTAAGACTCTGGCAGCAGCATTTTGGATCAACTGAAGACGTTTTAAAGAAGTATTTGGACACCCAGATAATAAACCACTGCAATAGTAATTGTAATAATCATTGCAAAATATGTACATAGACTATTCTTAACTTGGCTAAAGATTCTCACAAAACTTTTTTTTTTCTCACAGATAAGAACCATTTCAACTTTTATCAAAGTTTGTCCCACTTTCTTGTGATTCTGCTGCTATCAGACATGGGAAAACTAGTGAAAACTGTTTCTGGATCACAGAGGGATAGAGAGGGCGTGAGTTAACCAGGCTGCTACAGCATCATTTCTGAAAAACTCTGTTTCTCCTGTCCACATGGATCCACTTAAAACCGAGCTTTTAAAATCTGTTCTGTCCAGAGACTCTGTTGATGAACACAAGGTGCAAACACAACAGAAAATCTGTTACTAAAATGAATGTCGTAGTGATGATTATTTTGCCCATCGTTAATCTAAATATATTCATTTGATCATCACATAAAAAGTAGAAAATCCTCAAAAATTAGGAAAAGTTTACTTTATGAAATGCAAGTTTTTGGATAAAAAGTTATAGAAAATATGAAAGTTTTTAAAGAAGTGACTTTTCTTAAATAATCTTTGTAACAAACGGACTACTGTGTTCATTTCACTACTAAGATGTTTTAAACACAAAGTTCTTGGTGTTTGACCTGCAGGTGACTTCAGTCAGAGGAACATCTGCACAGAAAACAACAGCTTTTTATCAGAGATGATTTAATAATGATAGTTCAGGTCCAAACTGTGTGATGATCTGTGATGTTCAGGTTCAACCAGGAAGATGATCTGTGATGTTCAGGTTCAACCAGGAAGATGATCTGTGATGTTCAGGT